GGGGGGGGTTTCCATGTGTGGGAAAATTGAGGAAAATGGTGAAATTACATGATTTTTAAAGAAATTTCTCAGGGTGGGCGTTTCCTGAAGCCTAAAAAAACCCTCTGGATCCGCCACTGAAGACGTTTGGTCGGTATTTCCAGATGGTTAACATAACAGGCAACTATGGACGGATGAATGTGCCTCGTTAGCTGTTTTTATTTAATTTTTTTATTTCAATGTTTTGCTTGTTAAAGATAAGGTCCATAAGCCCCACATAATCAATTAGTATGTACGTAATCAATTACACAACGTTGTAACACTGACTGTGGCAAAGGTCAATACGCCCCACATAAGATCATATCTATGTAATCCTGGATTCACCGAGCTATTCCGTCTTTGCGTATTGCAGAGTTATCTTATCTTGAGAGCAGGTATTAATTGTTACGTCACTTGTTTGTGAGAGTAACGTCATCAATTTTTGAGAAAACCACGTAATTTTCTCGCACAAACCAATGACGTAACAATCAATACCTGTTCCCAAGAGAAGATAACTCTGCAATACGCAAAGACGGAATAGCCGATATACGTAATCAATTACACAACGTCGTAACACCGACTGTGTCACAAGTTATTCATACAAAAACTACTTGGAAACGACATTGTCTGGTATGTATCTGTGAATCTAGACAGTTGTCACCGCTGTTGAACTTCAAATATTAACACTATTAGCTAAAAATCTTACTAATAACATTTGGTAAAAGATTGAGTTGTTTCAGTCCTTTCATAGTGATGCTCTTATATGTAACCTATGCAGACCGAGTGATTTGGTAATGTCTAGCAACCTGTTGATTTTGCCTCACCCAATCTGTAAGTCGGCCAGTAAACACTTTATATCCTCAGTATACTGGCGTTTAGAGTCTTGAAAAAATCAAATTGTGAAAAAAAACCTGAAGATGTCTTGTGATAAATTTTTCAAGGTTATCTGTTATTGTTGTTTTTTTCTGTAGTAAAATATGTTTTGTTATATATTTGATGAAAGAAACTCGTATAGGATCCCCGTAACACTACCAAAAACTGTTACTACGCAAGAAACTTGTTTTTATTTATTTTTTAGCATGATTAAAGCTTTGAAAGAGAAAAATGTACCTTGTGCGACTTTTAATAAAAAAAAAGTAATGAATATGAATTCAAATACAATATGGCACTGTTTTGAGCGTAAAAAAAACAATTCCCGGGGCCAAACCGGGATTCGAACCCTGGATTTCATATTGTTATAATCGCCTGAGCCATCTGTCAACGTAAGTGACCTGTTCCTTTTGTACTACAGTTATACCCAAAAACGAAATTCATGGGTGGTAACTGTTTCTACGAAAACCACAGTGCGGTAGGGTAGCCGAGTTTTGCTAGGACACTTTCCTTGACAAGGTATCACAGTCGGTTAGAGAGATAGGGCTCGATTTTTTAAAGATCTGAACACTGTTGTTAGTTATATGTAAGTTTATTTCATTTTTTAATTTATTTTGCTTGAAAGTTCTGCAAGGGATGATCTCCTTTTTCGGAATTGATTTACCAAAGAAAAAGTCAAGAAGGAAAACAAATTATAGTGTTTGGCAGTGGTACGTGGTTTTGTTTGGAACTATGACAACAAGAAAAAATGAAAAGAAGCTTTGCTAATTAATTTTAAAAATATTTTATTAATCACAAAATATATAAAACACGTTTTATAAAGTATTTTTTTATTTCTGGTAGAATACACTTAATTAAATCATTATTCATATCTCAATTAAGTCATCGGTTTATTTCATTGCCAAATCCAAGTGAAAACATTCTTAGTAAACTTAATAGTACACTATTTGAATTTCTTTGGAAAATTAAATAAAGAGATATGTTGTTGTGATATGTTACATGGGTGGAGGTCTTAAGATGGTACATCTGTTGTCATTTATAGAATCACTTAAAGTCAGCTGGAAAGGAGGATACTACACAAAACAAGGAAATACTTACAACATATATGAATATTCATTTTCTCTTCAACTGTGGTAATAAATATATATGTATATCTGTCAAAATAAAAGTAAAAACTTATTTTTGGAAAATATTTCTAAGGCCTGGAATAGATTGAATATGAAAGAGAAACTAAGAAAGGATAAGGGACAATCTTCTTTTTAAATCACCATTATAGTTTAACTCAAATCTAACCACAGGTCAAAAACATATTTGATTAGGATTGGTACAGTTGTGGAATTACTCTAATTAATAATCTGATGAAAGATGAAGGTACACAAACATTTTGTTCTCAGAATTAATTTACTGATAAGTATAACATAGACACAGACGTCTTAAAATATTATGGTATTTTATCAACAAAAAGAAAATATATTACACAAAACAATTTGAATCACAATACAAACATTGGCATGTTTTATCCTGTTATACCTTTAAATTTAGAGATTTATTACAGACATCAAGAGGGGACTTATATACAGTGCTTACAAAAAAAATGAGATTTTTCAAAATAATAGAAGAAAATGGGGACAACGATTCGATATAAATGATGACAAATGGAAGAAAACATTTCAGTTTCCTTTTAGCGTAACTGTCAATACAAAACTTCAGTGGTTGCAAGTTAGAATTATACATTATTTTTGAACTAAAAAGGTTTTCTTATATAAGGCCCGTCTCACTGATAACTCATTATCTGCTTGTTTCAACTTTGAGAGGGAAAGCATTATACATATCATTTGGGAATGTGACAAAAGTACAGACCTTTTCACAATCTTTAGAAATATAATTGAGTCATTGCTCATTCTTTTCTCTTTCTATAAAGAATCATTCATTTTTGGTTTAATAATAACCAATAGACTTGATAATGAAATTATACTTATGATTTAACATTATATTACCAAAACAAGTTTCGTTAATGTATTGACTCAATACTATATAGGATTATTATTCAGGACAGAAATATGCTGCGTATAGGAAAGGAGATTCTTCTGTTCAGAAATTTCAAAATGAATGAGGAAAATAGAATACCCTTCTTGAGTTATGAGATCTCTTCACAGTTTATCAAATATACCTGGTATATATTCTAATGTGTTATCTGATAGTGCTTAAGCCGAAATTATCTACACTAGAAGTTTCAGTACTTTTTTGCATGTTAAAGTTAAATTCCTGCATTATAAATATAAACACAGATTTGCATATAACTCTCGTTTATGTTCTCCAACTCTTTTTCCTCTTTCTGTTCCTTAATAACCTAAATAACTAATCACAATAAAAAATGGAAGAAAATAACTTAAAGTTGAGTTTTCGTTTATTTTATTATTTCCCATTTGTTAGGTGTGTGGCATTTTTTGGAACTATGACAACAAGAAAAATGAGAAGAAGCGTTGCTAATTAGTTCTACAAATATTGTATTTATCAAAAAATATATAAAACACACTATACAGAGTATTTTTATTGAAAATGTATGGATAAAAGTGATTATCAACAAGCTTAAAGCAAACAGTACATATAATTTCATACAAAATAATGAAAAATTGAAAAACATATACATAATGTTGTTGTTTTTTAATTTATTTTACATTTTACAATCATTTTTAACCTTTATCAAAAATCGCAATTACAGTTATCTCTCTTTTCATATATCAAAAAATTAATTGTCTCATCGAAAGAAATACCAGCATTTAAAACAATTTATTTGATGGAACCTTATTACTCTCAATCATGTACACATTGGACATCATTCCACAGCCCGCTTGTACATGGTATATATACGTGTCAAGGACGTGTAACCAGAAGCTTTCGTATGGTATGCCGTTCTCACTTTCACCCACACATAGGGATCTTCATATTTTACAAAACATTATTTGCACTGCATTTAAAGGAGCTATTTATAAGACAGAGCGTAACTCGCTCGACAGCAAAAAACGTAACGACCTCGAGCTTGTCAATTAGTCTTAGTACGTGATATGTACGTCAGATTATAGATCTTCTCCAAACCACTAGTATTTATTTAGAAAACAATCGGTTTCTGAAAAGATATCCAAACTGAACGCGTTGCATGGCACGTAACTGAATAAATTCATGTTTTCGTAATTATTTCAAAATTTATCTTTACTTGTGACCATAATCAGGAGCCAATAAAATTGATATGCACTTATATTAAAATTTTTAATCTTTTTCTGTCCCATTTTGAGTCCATTGACGTTAATATTTATATCTTAGAAGCATTATTTCATCATAAGATGACTTATAGTTTATGAAAACCTTTGCAGTGTCGATCACTCTGTCTGTTTGTAAAGAAAGCAAGGGTTTTGGTCGGTCTTTCACGATAGTGGGTTATCATACAGTCGCATACGGTCGGCAAAATGTGCTTCGTATAGCTATTTTCTATGTAAAGTATAAAGTAAATATTTTTGTTTTTTCATTTCAATATTTTTTGTTAATAAAAGATTCATTGAAATTTATGTACAAATATCAACTGTATAAGTCAAGTGCTTATCAATATTTCACACACAAACTGAGTGTTAAGACAATGATAAACTGTCGTTAAGGGTCCCGTACACCACTGTATTTGGTTCTTTCAGTATGACAATAGCTTTAATGTTATTTCCGAAAAAGATCATAATATATTAGGGAACTTTTGATTAAAGTATTAAAAAATGTACTAGAGACGGAATAAACTAATTTTAATCACCAGCAGTCTTCTGAGTGTGTCAAAAATAAGAGGGGCTATCCAGGGACTCGAACCTAGACTTCAAATTTGATTACTAACCAACTGAGCTATGTAGTCAACGAAGGAGTCCCGGCCCAACTTAACTACAACTATATCCAAAATGGAATTAAGGGAAGGCTACTGTAAATAAGAAAACGCATATAGCAGTGGGACGGGAATCCTTAAATTTGACAAAATAAAACATATCGGGTTTCAAGACACTAAACTATCGCTAGGCCGCGAATATATTGGATGACTACTTATCTAATATGTTGTTATATATGTATATATATTATATATGCATGCGAAAACGACTGCGTAACGTATGTTGACAGACCGTTCGGTCATTTTGGCTCATTGTTGAATTTGTTTTAAACCAGATGAGATCAGAACGGCAATGACTCCGAGCAACGGCCAAGACTCTAATTTCACACATCCGCTCGAATAGTTGTATTCATAGCCATTCCCTAATCCATCTACGACATCATTGACCGTATCTACGGCTCCTGCGAGGGAATGTGCGTACACCGTTTGGAGAGATCCGGGCTCCTTTTGGAGATGTCCGGAACTATTTTGGGGAGGAGGTGCTGACTGGATTTGTTTCCTGATGGATTTTATCAAACTTGTAGTCTCGTTGCCACAACTTTTAAAGACGTCAAAAATGCAGGAGGTGAATTGTTCCATCCGGCTGTAAACAAAGTTAAGATGGCATCGTTAAAAGGACCAATGGCCACTTAGTGGTGCAATATCAATAGTGGGATAAGGAATATGAACAAACGTTTTTAATAACAAGACTAAACATCGAGCTATGTAAAAATATCACACGAATAAAAAAAACTATTATAACCAATTTAGTATATAGAAAAGTCACCGGATTTTAGTCTTTCTCCTTAAACTTTAATTTGTGAACAAAACGTGCATTGATGAATATCGGATAAACAACCCTCAATGTAATGAATTTCGGAGAAACAAGAGTTAATTCAACGAATGTCAGTGAAACAATAGTTAATTTAACTCTTAACCTATCACACTGGTGAACACTCTTAACCTATCACACTAGTGAACACGATCAATAATGAATCAGAAGAGAAGTCCACATTTGCACCACACACAAAATAGTCTTCCCATTTGTAAATGGAAGACTTAACCTATACTCTCAAATTCAAACAAAGATAATGATATATGTTTCTATGTAACTATGTTTCATACCATTGTAGATATAAAATATACATAAAAGTGCTTACCTAGAAAGTTCATCCAAAGTGTTACCAGGGAGTATGTCCTTGACGTCATCCAAAACATTGCCACCCACATCAGCCTTTTTTCCAGATTTGAGAACTGATTTCAAATCGTTGAAACCGTCGACAAAGGTGCCCAATTTGGTGAAACAAGGGTATGTCTCGGTACAGGACTGACTAGTCACAGAACCCATTATAATGGCCAGCACACAAACTGTAATGATAACGCATCAACCATATATAATGTGCAAAAAGGATCCCCGACAAGATTCCGAAGCCTGAAACTAACCCTAACCCTAACCCTAACCCTAAGTCGGCATGACTATAGCTTCGGTAAATCATTTTGAAAAGAAAACAATACCTTGCGGGATCTTTATGAGATGAAATAAACATAAAAATAATTAAAAGTATTGATCTGATTGTGAAATTTCAACGGGACTAGACTCTGGACATAAGATTGAACTACGTGGTAAACGGAAGGGTTATGGCCCCAATATTGCTACCAAAACGAAATAAAGGGGGACATAACCGTATACACAAAAAACACAGTGGGATAAAGATTTTTAAATCAGCACCTGCTACAAATTTTAATATTCCTGCTAAGCCTACCAGACCTAACGTATTTGTTTTTGTTTATTTGCTTTTTGTTTTCGTTTTTATTTCATAGCGTTTATCGTGATATTTACAGCGAAGGTCATTTAGTGACGACGTGCCTCGATGTGTGTAATGTATGTTGGATACCGTATGCATCTATGCAATAATGTGGATCTGATGCCGACGTTGTAGAGCCAGCTCACTAAAATGCCTTGCCGAAATCACCCAGCACATTATTACACCCTGTCACTTAATACTGGCAATGGGCAAACCAGTTGTTTATGTTACCTCAAATACTGAATATAACAACTACCATTTTAAAGGATATTGTATATTTAAGCCTGGGAACAGAACACGTTGTCTTCCCCATAGGCGGACGTTTCGCACAAAGGCCAAAAAGGGAGCTGTTGCCAAGCAAGGTAGTAGGAAGGCGAAAGAATAAAAAGATCCAAAATACTGTTATTGGTGACACACTGGTTTCATAAAGTAGAGTGCACTAAGACAAATATCTCATTCTGTAAACGTTTCCCACAATAGTTGCTGTCTTATACAGACACACGCTACAAGTCTACAGCCAAAGTGCAGTGTACATATACAAGCCAACATCTATGTAGTCTACACATACCTTTCCAAGCCTTGACACAGACTACATACACCACGCAGAGATGTCAAAAAAAAATTCTTCTAATTTTCACCATTCAAATTTAGTTATTTATGTTACTTATTATAGTGTATTAGTATAGGAGCCCAGCTTCCCGTCAGCGAAACATGTGCACAAAGCCGAGGTAAAACATGCATTGGCTCCTTAAATAAAGGATACCTATAGTACTGCTAAAAAAAACTATCAAAAGCGAATTCTTGCAGAACTCTAAGAAAAGCAATGATTAACATGAAATAAGAAAAAAGGATCAATAACCTGTTTTTGGTGTAAAGAATTTAACAGGGATTGACCGGGATTCGAACCCAGGCCATCCGGTCCTTGCACTTTCATTCTAACTAGCTTAGCTACCTGGTTAACGATCATACCCTGACACAGTTATATACAAAACGAATTTAAGGGGATGTTTAATTATTCTATGAGCAAAAAACGACAGTAGAATCTAGTGTTTGTCAATAGTGGGACAGATATCCTCAAGTACCGTTTAAATAGATTTAATGTGAACAATTTGATATGATTATAGTTTGAGGTTCTTACATACTGCTTTATTCACACTCTAGGTCTCAAAGCGGATTACAAATAATTATCAGTTGCAAGCAACCAATATCTTTCTCAACTTCACGGGGAGCATACAGCCGGTGACGTCATTTAGGCGCTCACAGCCAGCATTCAATAATTCCAGCTTTGCACAAACATGTACTTATAAACAGCTGAGTAGACTGGAATAAACGAATTAAAGTATCTTGTTCAGAGATACAACACAGCGCCATGACGGGATTCGAACCCGCGACCATTCGGTCACGAGCCCGGCGTCCTACCACTAGACTATCGTGAATGTTTATGAACCAAATATACAGCTTTGCTGTTTGCATCTAAAAAGTCTACAATGTATAAGATACCATATACTGTATTATATTAGGCTATCATTGTACAAAAATCCAGCAACACTGACAAAATGCGTGGTTAATAAAATAGATATATTCCTTTTAACTAATTAAATGAACAAAGTGTTTCAACAGCTCTTCATTATGCATCATTTCCGATCATTCACAGATACACATGAGTGTCCATAACACGGACGGAATTTCGCGTTTTAACAATGGAAATATTGTCGTTTTTTTCCGATAAGCTGAACAATTGTTAATATACATTCAGATACAATACATAAAACGGAAATTTTGTCTGGTTTTTTCCGGTTGTTACATGTATGTACTACTGAACAGATACATTTCCTTATTTCATAAACATATACATGTCATTTGGCTTTGTCATTTGTTGCTGATTAAATACATGGCTGTTGTTTGTTATGAATAAAAATAAATTTCATTTTGTTTTAGTCTTTTGTCAATTTCAGCAGTACCAATGGTATGGCATCCTCGATACTCCAGGGGTTAAGGTCACTTACGCTCTCTGCACCTCTGAAATGTGTCATAGCAAAATTGAAGGCACGTGGCTAGCTATTAGATTGGTCTCAATCAAAAGCACCTGACCAATCCCTAGGCTGATACCTGTGTGTTGTTGATTACAGAGATGCGACGTCAACTTCAAAGCTAGTAAGTTTTACCGTTACGCGACCTCGAAATTCTTTAAATGTACATCAAAGGATCCAACTAGTATATCAAGACCGCGTAACGATAACTTTTACTGGCTTTGAACAAAGGACAGGTATCGTCCTAGCGATAGGTCAGGTGTTGTTTTTTTTATCTAACACCAATTAGAGTATTAACCGCGTCACTTCAAATTAGCTTTAACATATTCTAAGAGTGCAGAAAGCGTAAATGAACGTAATCCCTTGAGTGTTGGGGATGTAACAATGAACAAGATTTTGTGACATTTTTTAATTTTGTATTTTTAAATTAATATGTTTTTAATAATACGTTTGTCACGACTAGGTAATGAAGATGCCCCAATTACAATTGCAGATGCTTCGGGTTGCCTTACTATAGGTGTGTGGTACATTCAACCCATTTCAAAATACTATATTCTAACACGCGACTTAAAAAGTGAAATAAATAGTTTGAAGAGTCCTCCAGTCAATATAAAATTTGAGTTTTCTTCTACGACCAAGTTATTTTGAGCGTTTTACTGATAATAAATTTTATATATTCAATTCATTTTCGTTTGCGAAAATATAGATACCGAGATGTTTTTGGCACGTATTAACAAGAAATCATGCAAACTGTAAACATGTGTAGTCACTGAGTATAACCAGATAAACAGCAAAGCAGTCGATAGCGGTTAATGCTAATCTGGACCCATTCTACGACAGTTGTATGAGTACAACTCAGTCCTTTTGTCAGTTTACCAAATTTAAGTTAGCTTATAGCTGAGACATTGTCTTTAATAATCAATAACCCGTTTCTTTTAAATTGACAAACATTTTAAAAAAGGACTTCATTTTTTGTCAATTTTGTTTCTAACGAAATGCTCCTAATTTTTATTTAGTCAGAAAAACTGCATAAAAAGTTACAACATATTAATGCCATATATGGTAGCATGTTTCGCACAGTGATTGACAGGCATGCGCTGAATTCGTTTAACGCATTACAACTCATCATTCTGTAAACGAAGAAATACACTAGAAAAAAGACGGATTGTGGAAGAAAACTCAAGATAAATAGATCGATGACTTTTATAAGTTGATTTATGAAAATAAATAAACACTTGTGAAATCATAAAAATTGATTCGTTAAATTGAACAACAAATTAAAGAAAAAATAGAATTCACGTTACATCCAACTCATATATAATGTTCATATCAGCGGTATCATTACTCTGTAAAAGCAGAAGTGACTGCACTATACAGCTGTTTCGTCCGATTAGGACTCATCAGTTATGCAAAAACATTGAAAATGTATTTACCTGTGGTCAAAACCTTTGAGCTGTCCATTTTGCATGTGATGAGGTTATCGTCGAGTGGCTTGACTAAATCGCAACAATCCTGACTTAACATTTATAGAGTACCTCGATAAAACTAGCAAGCTTATTGAACGCCTATTGGATCATTCTGCATCAAGGACCACTGTTATGAACATATTTGGCACAATCGGGGCGGAGTTTGAATAAGGAAGTTTTTTTATTCTGGTGATCTTTTTCCGTATTCATTTCTAAAATGTGCGCTAGATGTAGTCTTCAACTATAAAATAAAATCCTCAAAAAAAATACGAATCACATTTCTGTGATTAAAAATCTGCTAGAAAAAATAAAATTAATAGAATTACTCTTGAAAATTCGGTACATATGGAAACTTTCGCTAAGTCAAATTTTCGCCATTCACTGGTAAAATTTACTATATTGGCCCAGTGTTAACTTCTCTCTTTCTTAATTGCTTAATTGCTATGTTAATTATGCTGTCATTCGCTTTCATGATTAAAGTGCCCTGGGAATATATGATCCAAATTACAAACAACACAGTCCTTATGGTGAGGGATTGGTGGTGGTTTGTTCGCGCTTTACGTCCTTTTAACAGCTATGGTCATTTAAGGACGAGCCGTGTTTGAGGAAAGCCGGAGAACCAATAGAAAAACCACCGACCTGCGTTCAGTACCTACCGACTGCCCTACGTAGGCCTTGAATGCGTGACCCATTGATAGATGGCTAGGAATCGGAGACGGTCAGACGCCTTAACCCGCTTGGCCAACTCGGGCCTCCTTATGCTGATATCTTTGATCTTGGATGAAAATGTTGTAATATAATTAAAGTGTATACAGTTGTTTCTTATTCCTTATTTACAAACTTTTATTATGGCCGACATGCTCGGTAAAATGCAATTCAAAAACAGTAATTAAGGTAATTATAGTGTGACTGTACTCTCTGGTTTGAAAGGTAGCTTTATTGAAATCTTATATGTCCTAATCATAGATAAAGTTTTCTTCTTTTTCTAAAATGTCACCAGCCAGAAATATTGAGGAGGCAGCATGATAGAAAAAATCCGGTAGATGAGGCAAATGTGATAAAGTACATGGGTAATGCATATGTCTTATCCATTTATATTCAGTACAAATATCGAGCTTAGCGGCCTCGTAACAACGAATGTCATTTAAGACATGCCAGGTTTTGGTGGTGGATGACAACCGGAGTACCCAGAGAACCCAAACACTTCCCCAAGTAGACCTTGAACCTGCGACCATATGTTTTTGTCATTAATTCCAAAAATCAGTATGTCAATACCATATATGATAGAATTTATTGCAAAATGATTGACGGGCTTGCGCTGTAATTTTGTTGTCTTCTGACAGATCATCCTTTATAGGTACTGCTAAAGGAAATAGATAATGTGAGTTGATTCTGATTAAACCAGCATTCAACAATTCCAATTCTGACCAACCACGTACTCATTTACAGCTGAGTAGACTGGAGCAAACGGAGTAAAGTATCTTGTTCAAGGATGCAACTCAGCGCGATGACGGGATTCGAACCCACGACCATTCGGTCACGAGCCCGGCGTCCTACCACTAGACTACCGAAATGGGTATGAACCAAATATACAGCTTTGCTGTTTGCATCTAAAAAGTCTACAATGTATTAGATACCATATACTGTGTTATATTAGGCTATCACTGTACAAAAACCTACTATGAAAGGACCGGCAACACTGACAAAAAAACGCGGTTTGGAAAAATAATATCTTTTTAACTAATTAAAATGAACAATGTGTTACAATATTATGCATCATTTCCGATCATTCATAAATACGCATTAGTGTCCATAACACAGACGGAATGTCGCGTTTGAACAATGGAAATATTGTTGTTGTTTTCCGATAAGCTGAACAATTGTTTATAGATATCTTATCGATACATTCTTCCGGTCATTCAGATACAATACATCAAACGGAAGAATGTTTTGATTCATACTATTGTTATATTTTCTGTCTTTCCGGTTGTTATATGTCTGTACTACTGAACAGATATATTTCCTTATTTCATAAACATAAACATGTAATTTGGCTTTGTCATTTGTTCGCAATGTGCTGATTAAATAAATGGCTGTAGTTTGGTATGAATAAAATTAATAAATTTCATTTTGTTTTAATCTTTTGTCAATTTCTGCAGTACCGATTATATGGCATCCTCCATACTCCAGGGGTTAAGGTCACTTACGCTCTCTGAACCTCTGAAATATGTTATAGCAAAATTGAAGGCACGTGGCTAGCTATTTAATTGGTCTCAAGTAAAAGCACCTGACCAATCCCTAGGCTGATACCTGTGTGTTTGTGATTACAGAGATACGACGTCAACTTCAAAGCTAGTAAGTTTTACCGTTACGCGAACTCGAAATTCTTTAAATGTACATCAAAGGATCCAACTAGTATTCTTGTCTCATCGACAAGGTGACCCACACTGAGCTTTCAATTTTGCTATGAATAGTCCGGGAGTACAGAGAGCGAAAGTGAGCGTAACCCCTGGATATCGAGGAAAGCATTGTAAAATGTATCAAGAGGTACTTTTGATAAGAAGATAAACGAGGAGGTTTCTTAAACATTTTACTCCGTATTTGTTGGTAGCTTAGACAGCAGCAGGAGGTTTTCGGTAATTTCAGCACAGAGCATATTAATAATTTTCTTTTATGAAAATGATACATGCGAACAAAATTTGATCATGAAATGATACATGCGAACAAAATTTGATCATGCACGTGATGAATTTGTCTGAATCTACTTCTACAGTACGATTCAAAATAAAATCGAACAAGGTGACTGTTGGATTCAGGGACTTTCTTAGCCACGAATCCTGCTTTATTTTATCATTTGTATTCCATAGATCATAAAAGGAGAGCAAGAAATCGGATTCGGCAGTTAGTTAGATAGGAGGGGCACTGACCATGTCCAAGGGTTACACTCACTTACTTTCTCTGCACACCTGGAATCTGCCATAACAAAACTGAAGGCTCAGTGTGCGCCACCTTGTGGATAAGACAACAAGTCTAATTTGATCCTTTGAAGTACATCATAAGAATCCCCCGACCGCGTAACGATAACTTTTACTGGCTTTGAACAAAGGACAGGTATCGTCCTAGCGATAGGTCAGGTGGTTTTTTTTTTGTTTTTTTTTTATCTAATACCAATCAGAGTATTAACCGCGTCACTTCAAATTAGCTTTAACATATTCTAAGAGTGCAGAAAGCATAAATGACCGTAATCCCTTGAGTGTTGAGGATGTAACAATGAACAAGATTTTGTGAACTTTTTTAATTTTGTATTTTTAAATTAATGTTTTTAATAATACGTTTGTCACGACTAGGTAATGAAGATGCCCCAATTACAATTGCAAATGCCTCGGGTTGTCTTACTATAGCTGTGTGGTACATTCAACCCATTTCAAAATACTATATTCTAACACGCGACGTAAAAAGTGAAATAAATAGTTTGAAGAGTCCTCCAGTCAATATAAAATTTGAGTTTTCTTCCAAGACCAAGTTATTTTGAGCGTTTTACTGAAAATAAATTTTATATCTTCAATTCATTTTTGTTTGAGAAAATATAGATACCGAGATGTTTTTGGCACGTATTAACAAGAAATTATGCAAACTGTAAACATGTGTAGTCACTGAGCATAACCAGATAAACAGCAAAGCAGTCGATAGCGGTTAATGCCAATCTGGACCCATTCTACGACAGTTGTATGAGTACAACTCAGTCCTTTTGTCAGTTTACTAAATTTGAGTTAGCTAATAGGTGAGACATTGTCTTTAATAATAAATAAAACGTTTGTTTTAAATTGACAAACATTTTTTTAAAAAGAATGCCATTTTTTGTTAATTTTGTTTCTATTGAAATGCTCTAAATTGTTTTTTACTAAAAAAAAACTGCGTAAAAAGTTACAACATGGTAATGCCATATATGGTAGCATGTTCTGCACATTGATTGACAGACGTGCGCTGAATTCGTTTTATGCAAAACAACTCATGTATATCCATACCATATATGGCAGCATTTATTGCAAAATGTTCGACGGCATGCGCAGTAATATTTTTCCGGTTTCGGTCTAATCAGCCTGTATGGGAAATGATCAAGGAAATAAATGCGTGCATTTGAATATCTGATATAGTGTAAGTTGACTCTGCTTATTCAAAGACCAGTGAACAACAAATCAGAAAAAGTTAATAAGTTAAAGGTGTTACGTTTGACCCATGTGTAAGGTACAGCTCCGATTAGAACTTAACATAACCTTTTTTTGTTCAGAAATTAAGAGCACATATCTGTTAAATAAAACATACACTAAAACAATGCATTCAACATTAATTTAGTTTGAAAAGGTGTCAGTTATGATTAAATTGATCAATGTATGTAATGTTCCGTTACGAATTAATAAACTTTCTCAGCTAAAATGACAATTACGTATAATTTGAATAAAGTTTGGGGTTTTTTTTCGGTAAAAACAAAAAAGCGCTGTTATTTAATTTATTTTATCGATTTACCGAATTTGAAAAATACTTTAAGCCAGTATTAGCAGATAAACAGAAGTTTTATGAAAGTGTTCTAAACCGATATAACTGTCTGGAAACATCAACGAAGAAACGGCTATCGTTATTCAAAAGCATTCTCCTGGGAGCTGTTAGGGGTATGTTTTAGTAAACTAAGTGTGATACCAAAGAAAACATTTGAAATGATTTAATATGATTTCCGAATGATTGGTGTTATCTAAAGAGTAATATATCGATGAGCTTAAAATTATTAAGAACAAAGTAGATTTAAAAAATAACTATGTCGGGAAAATATTACTCACATCAAAAACTTTTGGGTCACATAATAAAAAGATGACAAAAAACATGCCGACAAATATGTTGGACTTTTGGAATGCTTGGCAAAGTAATTTGTACTCATTTAACAAATCGTTCTACAAATTACTTAATCCTAGCACACCTAACAGAAATGTAGCAGTGATCAAAACGAAGGAATGCTATACAAAATATTAGTCTAGGAATGGTCG